GTCGATTTTAACAGATGCATAAATCCTTTTACAAATCTATGACGAAATTACTCAACTTTTTAGCTTACAATCTGCGAGATTTTGTGTTCACATTATTATTGCCATGGATTTTGATTTTATTACAAGAAAAAGGTGTTGTTTTAATTTTTTTGAGTTATTTTACTATACATATTTTGTATAAATTATAATATGAAGTATGTTACAATTTAAATATATATTGTTTTAACTATTCTGATTTCATACCCCCCTAATGATTAGTAAAAGTTAAGATGAGATTAATAGACACACATTTTTCAGGAATAGAATTTATGTCAAGGTCTGTCTAACAACAATCTAAATAAGTAAAATAAATTTATTTATAAAAAGGAAACTAAACTCTTCATTCGACTAATGCCATAATCAAAATAATGTAATGGTGTGTTAAAATGGAGGATAAGTGTCCAACTGGTTGCCAGTGCATCATCACCTGGTCTAATCTGCAAAAGTCCCCCTCAAAGTCCCCAGTCTTGACTGATTTTCCAATTAACTCGACGCGAATTGAGCTCTGATCGCCCGAATGAACGCCTTCGACGGGCAACTGCTGCATTGATTTGTCAAATTGACAGCAATAAATCCATCATAACCAGTTACAATTGACAGTTAATCACAAGCACCGCTGACAGGTGGGTCCCAGCCCCTATATCCACTATCCACTATCCAGTCCCCACTATCCACTCCTCAGCGGTTAATATATGCGGCTGCCAATCAGGCGATTGTCTTGATATATGCGCCCATTGACCGAGTCGGGCTTTTGGGCTCGGCCCAGTGCAAAATGTTGCACCAAATTAATTAAAACCCGTGAGCGGCTAGTGGCGTAGTCATAGCCACCCACCCAAAGCCAGGTGAAACCACCCGATGGCGACGTGGGACGCCTCTAATACCCAAAGCCTAACCTTGTTCGCAACTGACACTTTGCTAAATGCCCACCCCGAGGCACCGCTGAATGGAACTCAGCTGAACTGAACTGAACTGAAAGATACCGACCCGATATGCTAAGTAGGGGTATCGCTTCGCTTCGACCGCCGCAATTTATTCAAAAGCATTAATTTTTATTTATAGCTTAAGTTTTCGCCGCTGCTGCAGCCAGCCGAAATGAAATGAATTGATCTGGACTACAGGCCAACTAATCCGAGCCATGGGAAAATGAGCCGTAGTTGGGCTCTAATGACAGTTATTTATCAATTGGCATTTGCCAGGTGACCACCGGTGGTGCGGCGATTGTCACGGGAGACCGGGGAGCCAAGTGAAATATGCTTCCCTATGCTTTACGACCGCCAGTTGAGTTGGTTAAGGTACACGCAAAAGTCAACTGAAAAGTTATCAGATTATGCTAGAGTTTAGGAATAATCTAAAAGATTATAATTTAAAAAAATAAATTTGTAAATCAAAATAAATTGATTCCGCAAAAAGCCATGATGTAACCTTTATGAACTATACAACTTGATCAATTCGGCTACCAATTTGATTTTGATAAAGTTTTGTAAGCAACTTTAAAAATACTCATATTTACATGCCGTAAGTGCCAAACTGGATTTTGAATAAAAATATAATCGAGTGTAAAACAAAATATTTATCACACAATAAATGCAGAGCATTAGACCTCTAAAACTCAAATTCGAAAAACTGTTTTAAAAAGTAATGGGTTTACACTTTTTTTACTGTCGATTGAGACACGAAAATACTTTAATAAACATCTAGTAAACGCATAAAAGACATACCCAAATAATTCGAATACAAAATAAAAAATAAATAAAAGTAAACAAAACGATGAAAAAAAATGAAAAAATGTTAAAACCAAATCCGAAATCGAGTTAATGCATTGGTCAAATAATCCAGGTCTTTCATTTGCAGTTAATTAGGCACACGCCAAATCGAAATATGCGGTGGCAAATGAATCTTGAAATCAAAGTCTTCATGTTGCCATTGACAAGTACAAATACAAGTGGAAATCGTTAAGTCCAACCGGTTAGCACTGGGTTAAACTAAGCGTTAAGCGTAAGACAAATTTAGTTGCTGATTCGGGGTATTTACTCCGATCTCGAACTCCGATCTGGGACCTGATCTTACCCGTACCCGTACTCCGTACCACGTGCGTAATTAACCGCGGCATCGTCGATTTATCATCGAAATGTGGCGGTCATAAACAAATGCGCCGGCGCCACTCGCTATTTTTATGTCGTTTATTTTTCATTTTCAATATTCGGTTTTATTTGGCTTTTGGGCTATTGGGCTTTTCATTAAATATTAGCCACAATATTGAACGACGGCCGCAGGCGGCGCAGCAGGTGAAGATGTTTACCCAGTTACCCACTATTCGGATTTGGATCCGAACTCGAAGTTGCGCAAAATGTCGGCGAAGTCCGACAGAAATCAATAAAGTATTTGTGAGCTTGTGCAAGTTGCAGATGTCATGGGATCGGACACTTCTGCATAATGATGTTATTCAATTGCACAGAACAGCGGGCTTTTGAGTAGCATGTGGGTGAAATCACTTGATTATTACTCGGGAAACGCATAAATAGTGAGCGTATGTAAATGTCGCTTATGCAGATAGGCCGTCTGAATTATTGACAGGGCAAACGAGAAATACAGAATTTTCCATCTGCTTATGCAACTATGTAGCTTTATATATTTGCTTAAATATTCTTAAATTAAAGGTGTATCAAATATTATAGAAAAGTTAATAGTTAAGCAATTATTTAAATAAAGTATAGAAGAAATGTTTGATATTTGAGTTTTGATATTTTATGATAGATTTGTTTTGGTCTAGGTCTAGGTCTAAAAAACTTAATGAATATTCTCTTTGTTATTTTAATTTCTTGCTTGAACTTGGCTTTTGAAATGCGATAATACTTTAGTATCACGTGCTCGTGCTGGCCGCATTTCATATTGGGCCGCAGTTTGATGACTTTTTATGCCACTCCATTTCAGGTCCGGCCAAACCACGCCCCCCGACCAGACGGCCGCCCCTTTTGGGGCCGTGCGACGTGTGCATAAATCTTGCACGCATATTTAAGTTGATGATGTTAAATGGCCGTACTAAAAATACGAAATATGCATGCCGTATGCATCCTGTCGCTCTGTGTGCGGAATGTGCCACGGCACCACTGCCTTGCTGCACCACTCTGCACCACTCTGCACCACACTGCACCACCATGCTCCAGCAACATGGCGACATTCATAAACCAAAACTGAGCCACAGAGTCTCCTCGATAGCCAAAGGCAACTGCCTCGAGGCCCGTGGGTTTTTTGGCCTGGCTTTCGGGCGGCCGAAAGCCGAACGGCCAACAAAACGTTCTGTCCAAAAAGGAAACCGAACTTACCAACAAGGGGGTAATTTTGGGCATTTACCAAACCGAAAGTGTTGTGCGCTACCAAAACGAAAACTATACGAGGTACCTAATAAGAGTTTAAAATTATAAGCTAATTATAACTTAAGTTAAAAGAAAAATTATTTCTCAGATTCAAAAAAAAAATTACATTTTAATGACAGAAATATTTTGTCAAATATTTTTGTGAGATTAGGAGATCTTCAGAAGGAAATAAATAATATCCCTTAGTATTTAGAGATGTTAAAAAAAAAAATACGAACAAATAAATGGAAATCGCTTAGACCAACCTGTTGTATTATTTTAGAATTATTGATTTTCTTGAAGCTACACTATTTTAAAAAGCGCGAGTACATTTTGTAAGAGTAGCGATTGGTTTTTCTCAGTCACCTTATGGGTTTTTTTTTCAATTTTTTTATTATTATTTCTTGGCATGTTTTCTTTTTGCTTAACGGCGGCAGATTTGAAAAGAATTTCTGCTCGCAAATGAAATTGTTTCCTGTTAAAAGCTAAAAAGAAGAGGGCAAGAAAACAAACTTCGTGGGGAGGAGAGTGGGCAGGGGTAAATGGCGAAGGACGGAACATGGATATGGACGGCACCTGCCGTCGCATCGATTGATGAAATTAAAAGGAATAAATAAAAATCTTCTTAATGGTCTGGGATTTGGAACTTAATTTTTTAATTAAACAAGCCACCGAGGAGAAGACTGCCCTGCCGCCATATAGATATGGACCCGAAGAAGGAGGAAGGCTGGGACATTTATGCAAAGCAGAAGCCACTTGGCCACTTGTGTGGTCAGTCCACGGTCTGCTGGCCATGAAAAGGATGAGTCCGAGTGGCGGTCCAGGCCCAGCATAATAACTGTGTTTGCCTTGGGCGATGGCCAACACTTTTACTGCCCCAAGGAGTCGTCGGGCCCTGGCCCTGGCCCTGGCCATAACATGTTAATCCCCCAGCCCAGCACCGATGTCAAATGTCAGCACATGTGATTTGTCATCTTGAGCAGGAGCATGAGGAGCATGAGGAGCAGGAGGAGCAGCCGCATCTGCAGAGGGCTCTGCGTCGGTGGTCGACTCCTTTACATTGTCGCCTCGGGTAACATTTGTCACCAGACCACCTAACTTGTTCCCGACTGCAATTTACAAGGCCCTCCAACATGGCCAGGAATGTGCAATTGATATTCTACGAAATCGGAGGACCGCTGCTAATGACTTTGATATATTCATCCCATTGCACAGAGCAAAATGTAGCTAAAAGTTCATAGAATAAAAAATGTTGAGGCCCATTTAGTTACTTTTAAGGCGATCAACATCTTAAAAGAATCTTCTGATTCAACATAGTTAATCCAAAAATTTTTGTTTTTAATTGAAAATCCACTTATTTCAGAAATTTGATATGGGTTAGACTTATTTCAAAAATGGTAAAGTTTAAATATTGCAATGTAAATATAATATTTTTATTATAAATATTTTGAAGCTTTGTTAAGAAGGCATGCCAATAATGTTAAACCAGTGCAATTTTCCCATTATAAAGAAAACTAACAAGTCCAGTTTCATTTTGAATTTATATATATTTTTTATTTATACGATTTCTCTGCACACATTCGTAAACCAACAAAAAGGAAACAACTGAGCATTTTTTTGAAGGATTGAAAACGAAGAGAACTAATAAGAGAAATGAAAAGTGTTGAATATTTTGTTGAGGCTTTTTATTCAATTTCTAGTGTGTTGTTACTCGTTATAATACAAAGAAATGCAATTAAATAGTCGTTTATATATTCGTATATATAAGATAGAGATTAATAGAGTAAGGGAGGGGAGACAGATTTGAAGAGACAGAGAGAGAGAGAGAGTGGATGAGAGGTGTTATACATAGACGAAAGAATCATTTTGCTTTTATACATAAATAATTACATTTAATGCTCGGCTTAGGAATAAAACATATTACAATGTACAATGGTAGAAGTGTTAACTTAGGCGTATGATTAATTAATTAATTAAACGTAATTAGTAGAAAGAAAAGTGCAAATGAATTTACAAATGACAAATGACAGTCGGTTCCCGCTCCACTCCAATCGACTCGATTCGCTTCGATATAGGTTTAAATAAATAGTTTCTGCTGCGCTAGATATAGTCATCGATTAATCGAGTTCTCCAATAGGCCGTCGTTTCAACATAAGAATTTTGTTTATATTACAGCAACGCGCATACGTATAAGTACAGTAGTTCAATTCGAGTTGTGTGTGTTTCGGCTTCGTTTCGGTATCGGTTTCAGTATCGGTTTCAGTATCGTTTTCGTTTTCGGTTTTTGTTTAGTTGAGTGCTGCTTCAATGCCTAGTTAAGTTAATAATTAATCGTTCAATTGTTAAATGGTTTCTTGTCTTAAGTACACACTAATTAAATTTTCACCTAAGCATCTTGCTTTAACTTCTTTTTGTTTGGGTTTTCTTTGTTCACTTTAAATTTACATTCATACATATCTCTACATATAAACTTGACTTTTCAGTTTTCTGTTTCTGTGTTTACGCATTTCCCTTCAAATTGTTTTAATTTCGCATATTTGGTTTGCTAATATGTTTGAACTATTTATTTTAAATATTAATATAAATATATGAGAAACAATTTTTGCATATCTTTTTCCATATTCGTTCACATATGCCAATATGTGTCTATATATATATAATATATATATATATATATTCGTATGTAGAAAAGCAGCAGTTGGTTTCTTTTTGCTGTTATTTTGATTCGATTTGTAGTTTTAGTTTCTTAGTTTTCGTTCAATTAATAAATATAACGTTGCTTATTCAGTGTGAAATTTGGTGTTTGGTTGCAGTACATATCTGGATACATACGCTAGTAGTTCTTTAAAATTCCATTCTCCCTCGAATTGAATATTGCCCACAAACTGTGTCCTAAAATTTCCATGCTGACCATTTCAACAATTTTTTTGTATTTGCTTAAAAAATTCGGTTTATTTTGAATGGAGTTATTTTTTCGTTTATCTAGCCCAATTTCGTTCGCTTGTGCCTAGTAAAATTGTTTAATATTTAGTTTTAACCTTTCATTTTTTGGAAGTGTTTTGCTGTGCGAATTTGTTATCGTTATCGTTACCGACTCTTATTTCTGCTTGCGTATGAATTTAAAAAACTTCTTTATTCGTTTCCCGTTCGTTTTGTTAAATTTGTTTGCTAATTGGTTTTTGGTTCGTTATAAAATTTTGAAAATATATGCATATATGTATATAATATATATCGATTTTTGTTTGCATTTGTATTTATTAATTCTCATTGCTAATATATTTAATTGATTTAGTAAATCAAAAGTTCGCTACGCTTTTTCAGTGCATTCGAAACGTTTATTTGCTTGCACTAGAATGTCGCGCTTTCATAATTTCCATTTCAACAATTTTAGCATTTTGTTATCGATTATCGCTATCGCTTCGGTTCATCGTTAAGTTAGTTTATATAGCACATACTCGTAAATAAAAATCTTATTGTCTTTTCATTTATAACTATGTAGCAGTTCTGCGAGTTCGTTGCCTGCGGCCTCCCGAGTGCAGTTGGTGGAGTCTTCACTGTACTCGCTACTGGATGAAGTGCGGCCTGAGTTATCGTTATCGGTTCTGCGCCAGCTTCCGCTTCCGCTTCCATTCCACTTCCGCTTCCGCTTTTCGCCTTTCCGCCATCGGTATCGCTTCTGTAGTGTGCTTTTAGGCGTGGTGCAAGTGCAAAGTCCTGTCTGAGTCGAGGTACTGAACAGTAAGCAACTCCTTTGTATATCGAGTTCTATATATGTTTATATATATGTATCAGTTCATTATAAATTTGAAATATTTATGCATTAATTTTTGCTCTTCGCTTGGTTTCTTCCTAAATTCTTTTCAAAACTGAGTACTGAGTATAGGTTTGTTTCTCTTTTGCAGGAATGCTACGGGTTTCACTTTTAAAGTCTACAAATTTATTTCAGTTACGAAATTTTTTAATATAAAGAAAAATTTAGAGATTAAGTGTACATTGATGAAATCTTCAAGTTTGACAGTTATCCTCTTTAAACAAAGCAAAAGTTTTCAATCATAAAAATTGTAGATGTTTTTACATGAGTTCCAGATATATCTATCTAAAGTGAAAATGGTTTTGGCTTGCTTTTAATTTCCATCATTTATTATGCTTGTTGAGCAATAGGCTTCTCTAAAGAAATCTTTCTTGCTTTTACATAAAACTAAAACCTCTTTGAGAACGTACAATTACTTGATGTAAATTTGGAAAATGAAATATTAATAAAGAAATCTTTAAAAGTGAAAACCGTGACAGACCTGTTTTTAAACATTTAATAGCCAAAGCCTGACAGTCCCTAACTACTACGCAAATCTCTGGTGAGTGAACCAGTGCAGTGTTCTGTTCGGCCTGATCCTGTTCATGCCGATGCGAATCGGTTCCGTCAGATGGGAAGTGGTCGAGGTGGGCAGGAATCCGCTGAAGCCACCGTCAGAGCTGTTGCCGCCTCCGATCCCCTCCAGATCGCCATTGTAGACCACGGGATACACACTGATGTTGTCCAGGTTGTCGATATCAATGTCTCCGCCCGCATTTCGCACATAGGTCAACTGGTGATAGGGCGTGGCCATCAGCTTCTGGGTGAACTTGCGCACCGGTCTCTTCATGGTTGTTGCTGCCGTAACGCCGGTTGTTGCTGCTGCCGTCGGCGATGCCTCTGTAAGCGTGTTGTTCAGGTTGCTGTTGATGTTCTTGTCCACGCTGAAGAGTGAAGGAGCAACATGTTGCTGGGGTGTCGTGGCCGATGTTGCTGCCGTGCTAGATAGTTGCTGAATGGGTGTTGTCATAGATGTTGCTCGCGTGCTGTCGCGTGTTTCAGCGGGCGGTTGCGGGGTCCAGAGCAACTTGCGTGGCTGCTGTGGCTTCACCTCATTCTCAGCCGCCAGCAACATCTCGGAATTGTCCGTGTCTACCGAGGGATTTTCCCTGCTGTTGCTGCGATGCCTGCTTGGCTGCTGCGTGTTCTGCATTTTTTCAGTCTGACTGGTTGCCGTTGGTGTTGCCCGCGTACTGCTGCTGCCGCCGATGATGCTGCTGTTCCTTCTGTTGCTCCTGGCCATCGGCGTCTGTTCTATCACCAACGGCGAGCCCGCTGTCGAGGTAGTTGTGGCCGCCGTTGCCGCTATTGCTGATGTTGCTTTGGTTTCATATGTCGCCGTGGACTCCGCCTCCGAATCGTCCACCATTTCGGCCTCGTATTGCAGCAACTCGGTGTCGTTGCCGCTCATCTCGGGCGTCATGGCCGATGCCTCGGCCTCCATTTCGGTGATGTACGTGGCCCAGGCATCGTAGTTGCTGCTGCTGCTGCTGCTGCTGCTAATACTGTCGTCAGATGTTGCTGTTGTGCTGCTGCTGCTAAAGCTGTCGATCGTGGACCAAGTGGACCAGGGCTCCAAACTGGAGCTGCTGCTGCTGCTACTGCTGTTGTAGGTATCCAAATCCTCGAAACCCGTGCTGCTACTGCTGCTGCTGCTGTAGAGGGAGTCGTCGGTGTACGGTGATGTTGCTGCTGTGGCAAGCAGTTGCTGCTGTGATTTTGGTTTGCCCTTGACCTTTCTTCGCCGGCCCTTGCGTTTGCTGCTCAATGTTGTTGCTGTTGCTGCTGTCGTAGATGTGGTTGCAATAGTTGCCGTTGTTGTTGCTGTTGCTGTTGCAGGCATTCGTTTCGATGGACTAGCTGATACTCGTTGTTGTTGCTGTTGCTGTTGGTGTTGCTGTTGCTTCTGTTGCTTGCGCCGCTTCTGCTTCTTCTCGTGTTGCTGTCGTCTCAGCAGCAGCGATGGATCATTGTGATGATGTCGCACCTGATGTTGCTGCTGCTGTTGCTGCTGCTTCTGCCGGTTTATCGCTAATTGCTTTTTGTTAGTGCTACTTAAACTAGTACTACTATTATTAAGAATAACGTTATTATTATTATGGCCATGATGCTCCTGTTGCTGTTGCAACTTTTGATTTTGGTTATTCGATTTGTGGCGATTGTTTTTGTTGTTGCGCGGGGGCTTCCGTATGTTGCTGCTGCCATTGTTGTTGTTGCTGTTGCCACTGCCCATGCCACTATTGCCATTATTATTATGGTGATGGCGGAAAAACTGCTCGGCCTCGATCTTATTGAACATGTAGCAGGCATCGTTGACGCTCTTCTTGGGCCCCACAGGCTTACCTCGGTGCGTGAACCCGACACGTCGCTGCAGATCGACAACGGCACGGAACACGAAATAACCGTGCACGATGGTCTCGTTGAAATAGCAGGTATCTCGCAGTTCCCTCTGAAAAACAAGGAGATATATACTAGATTAGCTTCCGTGCACTTCACATGCAATTTATGATCGGCATTTCCGTTCATAGGGTGAAAAAAGGTGTTATATGCCGCGGATATTCCGATATGCGTATCGACCACGATGACAGCGACATCATCGCGCGACGAGAAGTGAACGTTTAGTCTGCCTTCTGTTTATTTATAAAACACTTGAAATCTCAAAACGACAACCAAATGAAACGCGGCTTATGACTTGGATCTTGGCATACCTTGGGTATCTTTCTAATCGGGGATGTTGGTTGTTTTGTTGTTTGGGTGTGGTATTTATAACGGAGAACCAAAAATTAACCTTAAATGTAGATATGAAATGCTGGTTAAAGAATTGTTATGTTTTTAATTTAATTCCAAAGCTAGTTTATAAGCTTTGGGACTTAAATAAAAAAACAATTCTTTAAATCGCATAAAATATTTACTTTAAAGGTATATTTTTAAATTTAGAAGCATATATTGTATTGAGGTAATTAATTTTATAATAGACTGATTAAACTTTGTGGTAAAAAAAGAATGAAGACACTAGAAAACTTTCTATTCTTCCTAATTAAATTGTAAAAATTATCAAAATAAATGAATTCAAAAATGTAATAACTCCAGGGTATTTATTGGGACAATCCCTTAACCCACAAACTCCCCATCCGAGTTGTTGAGCGCGTGTTGCTGCCTTGTTGGCCATTTCTGCTATCAACGAACCGATCTGATCGCTCAGATCGTGGCGATTGGGGCCCAAAGTGTTGCAAACGACGCAGATGAAACATTTCCCAAGCAATTAAGACTTGTGCCATTTTTAGCGACGGACTACTTGTTTGCTCTTCGCATATTTATAGCTCGTAATTGCTATTTTTGAACAGCTTCTCACCACTGGTCAAGTGGGTCCGAGTGTTTGGGGCAAAACACATTCGTTCTATTTCGAGAAGGGATCGCATTGGATCGAGTAATCAATCGATGTGACTCACTGAATCGAGACTTTGCGACCTCGGCCCACACACACATTAACCTTGCCGAGAAAAGCAGTCTAAGATATCGCATGGAGTGTAAATCACGGCGAGTATTTGCACAATAATCCAGCATGGATTTTGCGGTCATAATCGAAAGCAATAGGCAGCAGATAGAGCACTAGAATGACAAGTATCTGACCTTAGGGGTTCTATTGTTTGCCTAGAGCTTGAGTGCGGTTTAGCTAACTAACTGTATTGCGAGTGGGGAAAGGACATTGAAATGTTTTCGCCATTACCACATAACTGGCGGCAATTACTAGAATGAGCCGCGTCATCCGTCTGATTGATTAGACATATCCAGCTATCAGTCAGTTATGAGTTGTTTGATTTTTATGATGGCAAATCTCAGTCCCCGAGTGGCTGCACTTCAGCAGTGTGACATTGAAATGGGGCCCCGCAAAAACTGTTACAATGTCTCGAAAATTTGATTTTCAATTTCAGTTCCGAATCCCCAATGAACAGTTGCAATTCATTGCTCCATGCGATATCACGCATACGCCGCGTAAACGTATCTCAAGATCTGTGCCACTTTCGGCCGTAATTGCATATGAAATTGTTCGAATTTTTAAATTACAAATTACAAAAATAATGTAATAAATATTTTGCTCAGCTCGCTGACAGATTTGGTGCAACTGCAACAGGTTTTTCACCCATTGTGGCTGACAATTTGGCTACGTTGCTATAATATTGTTATTGTCGTTTAAGCTCTGTCGTTTGCATAAAACCATTATGTGGAACATGTCATAAATTACAGTGTTTATACAGTTACTTTGCATAAAAACAAATCGAGGAGAGACGGAAAAAAATGAGTTGTCTACACTTGGCGCTTTGTACTTTGTCAAGTTTGAAGTACGAATGCAATGCAATCAAAATCGCGGGCCTTGGCTATATCAGCATCTACTATACTGTATACAACGGCAGAACAAATATTGTCAAGCATATTATTGTGGCTATTGCCAACAATTTGCTTGCACAAGATGTCATAAACTTTATCTATCCATAAACAAATTGTGTGGAAATTCCCTTTCATCTTGGCGACCTTTCTTTTATCTATTAATGGGATATACCATCTTAAAGAAAGTGAATCATCTTCTTGAATGGAACTCCCAAATGTATAGGCCAAAATAGTAGTACTCACCATGCCAACTAATCTCCAATTGTCGTTGAAACACAAATATCTTTGAGTTTCTTTTGCGTACAGTGCTATTTTGAATTCGTTGTTCAGATAATCCGGGAAGCCGACTATCGTTATATTTTCTGAAAAACACATGAAAACAAAAACAAAAAATTAAATTCATTAGTTAATCAGCTGGGCGAGTGTTTTAAATTGATGTAAATATTTGGCGGGCAAAAACATTTTTAATTAAAGGCAAACATGGCTCTTTTCGTCGAAGTGATTAAGCGTGCCAAAACGGAAGGTAACGATGGGTTGGGGTAGGGGTCTCATTATCATTAACATCGAGATGGGATGGGAACTTTGACCTTAGAGGAGACACGTGTCTTTGCGGATATTACTTAATGAATTTGGATATTGATGGGCTGCTGTCAAATAATCAGATCAATAAGAAATAGGTATTTGGTCACTTGGTTTATATTTGTGATCTATATCTTAATAAAAAGTAATATACTTCTTGTGTATAATATTGTTAACTTTTCTATACTAAGTACGGTCAAAACAAAATCATGACTCATTTTGCCTTATTTGTTTGCTATCATATCCATTGAAAAACCAAAACAATTTCCTAAAATAGTCGGCCAATGCATTAAACCTCGAAAAGTCAAGTAGGCAAGGTGCGCATGCTCTCTCCGCTAATTATAAACCAACAATTTAAGCCCGCAGATGTATCTGGAGTATCTGGCGGGAGTATCTGCCCCTGCAGGCAGATACTGTATCTGTATCTGGCCTCGACAGGCTATTGAACTTCATGCGGGTAGGACGAGGAGGGATGCGGCCACAAAAGTCACTAATAAGTAAAGCACTTGAAAAGCCAAAGAAAAAGGCAACACGAGGAGAAAAGCCACTCGAGTTAGATTGATAGGTGACTGGGTTCAGCACCGGTCTCAGTCGTCTTCCATACAGCCATTCTGCCATTCCGCCACACTGCCGTTCTGCCAGTAATTAAATTTATGCACACAAATTCTTGGCAAAAGTCGATGGGTGTTGGTCTTGGTCTGAGCTCCGAGTTCTCGACTCTGGGATCTCGACTCTTAGCTCTCATATTTCATAAGCCGGGGCGAGCTGAGGGCTTGAGTGACTCTGTGCTTCACACCTTTGGCCGCCGGTGGCAACCACTTGTGCCTCTTGTCCCAGGGAGCTGCCTTTGTTGTTGTTCCCCTGATTCACGGCCCGGCCGCTCCACTGGCTTATTGATTTCATTAGTTTGGTGACACAAAACGGCGCGAGGAGCACCCTCTGGCAGCCAGCAGCACTTGTGAGTGCGCACTTGGTCTTGAACTGGGAGAAATAAATTTTACCTAAAATAGGCATTGGCATATTCACCTAAAGGTAAGTCCATCTTTGAAATATAGACTCATAGTCATATATCATTTTGGAAATGGGTTCTTAAAAATAGTATTCTTTTATAACGATCACTCAAACTAATTTCAGCAGAGATTCTGCCAATTATGCTTCTTCAAAGGTATGTAAATAAAACTACATTTCCTTTTATTAAACTATTTAGCCTATACTTAACATATTAATATTGAATTCCGAGTGCCAAAAAATGGAATTACATAATATATTTTATTACACTATACTTTACTCTTTACTTTGCTTAATATACTGTTTCATGTAACATGACCACGAAATGTTTGGTACTATTTAAATATTGTTTAATTATTGAAAAGGATTTCTTAATGTTAAACTTTAATAAAAAAGGGGAATTCAATACAAAAATTAACTAAACAGTTTCGTTGTACTTTTTTCTTTACAGATGCTTAATAAATGCATAACTCTTTTTCATTAAAGCAAATATAACCCTTTTCCCTTAGTGCAATGCCACTGAGAGTCTCAGTTTCAATACCCTTTTTATTTGCCCCTCTGAAAGCGGTGCAAACTTCGATCCACTGTCATTGTGATATATTTGCCTACTTGATTTCGCAACCGAGCAGGAAGTGCAAGTCCATCCAGATGAGCAACGGTTATATTGTTGCGGTCCCAGAGGCTTGGTTAAGCCAATAGATTGCCCAAGATTTGATATCGTTGAACTCTCAATGACTTTGACATTGAAAGTGGCAGAGTTCCTAGCACCAGACCTCAATTTGCTTGATCCCTCCAAACGTAAACAGAAAAAAAAACCAAACTAGAAAAGCCAAATGTTTATTTTTATTTTCAACGGCACACTCACACTCTCAAAAAAAAAGGCTATTAAATGCATTTTAGGCTTTGGAATTTTTATGGGCTTCGATCTTTTTTGGTGCTTTAGAGATCTTCGCTACGGGTTTGTTTTTCACTCAATAAAAAGCTTCGATTGGGCCGCATTTTTGCCGCAAGTTATTAAGATTTTAACAACCAAATCTTCGTCTTCTGCCGAGTTTCTAATTAAGTTATTAGTCATGGAGAGTGGAATTTTCGTCTCGACTCGTATCGTTTAAATTCGAAAGGGCGTTTGAACTGAGAAATGCATCAGCATAAATATGGCAAAATACAGCCGACGAGAAGGCGTTTTTGAGATGCTATCGATAGCCTTCAATATGGGGGCGTGATTTGTTTTTAGAAATAAACCAATGGATATAGAATTTCGAGCGGGCTGGCTGTTCTAATTTATGGTTATTTATGGCATTTGAACGATAGCTGTTTGCTGGCCATAACTTAATTGTCACTAACTGAAGGCTGCAACGTCATAGAACTTGCGTCACTAAATGGAATGAATTCGTAAGCAAGCGATAAGAATTTCGTACCTGTCGCCTCGATTGCGAATTCCTTAAACCTTATAATTAGTTGCATTTTTAAGCTCCATATATCATAATATCAGTTAATAATTTCCTGCTTTTTTATACTTTTCTCAGTTTTAAAAATACTCCGGTTTATGGGATGGCCCACCAGCTGTGCACAGCTTTTTTTTGTGGGCCGTAAAAACACAGCTCTTGATATATAATGTCAAAAGCACGAAAATGTAACAAATGACACACTCAGAGGGAAGCCTAAAAGCAAGCGAATCGGGCATTATGCTGAAGAGATCAGGAAAACAAAGAACCCGGCCAGCAAACAAACCATAAAAAACCACAACAACCAGAAACAACAACCAAAACGCTAATCAAATATGCAAGCAATGAGCTTCATCAACATAAAATTAAAAAATCATAAAATCCTAAACTGCACAGCATGAACAAAATCTAAAATCAAAAGCCGAATCCAAATCCAAATAAAAACAAAAATCAGATATCTTGACAACGAGCTGGGGCGTCAAAATGCCTCGTAATTGCGGCACATGTACGAAAAACAGCAGAAACGAAAATCAGAAAATGATTTTACGATCCAGCCGTGTACATATGGTGATATGGAAATGGTCAACACCGTCACACGGATGTTCCATCGACTCGATCACTTTGTCATTCCATCAGCATGTGATCTTCGCCTCCAGCTTCGATTTGAGTTATGGTATCTGTGTGGATAGTAACCGAGATATTGGTGGGCGTCGCCAAACTCTCATAGGCATAAATCGCAGCTTATCGATCTCTATGATAATCAAGTGCCATTCCCCTGGCTTATTTATCGAGACTAACCATATTTGATTTTACTTTCCAGATTCTACTTTCACTCTCATATGGGTTATTTATGCGGAAAAGAATTCCATGCCGGCTTATGATTTAAGGAGGAGCTTTAAAGATTTGAGCTTTCGGGAAATACAAACAAATCACCGGAAATGCAACTTAGACTTTTAGTTATTCGGTTTAAGATGCAATAAGAGAGATAAATCTTACATTTACAATTAATTTATTACAACAAGATAATTTTAATTATTTTTAGTTTCTATAGTTGTTCGCCCTAGTGATAAATTTTGAATTTAAAAATATTAAATACAAACAAATCAGTAAACTGTAGTAGGAAAATAAATAAAAACATTATATGAGGCTACTTAAGTTTACTTATTATTCTATTAACCCTTTTCTTTAAAAAGATAATAAGAACAATCTTAAGAAGTAACTTAAATATTCAAAGTACCAGACGGACTATTTGCCAATGTGAAACCGAACGTTATCCTTGGCTTTGGAGCGTAACTTCCCCCAAGAGCATTGCCCCTTTGGGTCCCGAGTCCCAATAGTTCCTGGAATGTCGTCTGAGGCATTCACTTCGATGGCTGCATTCCCGGAACTTTTACGCTGACGATTGCTGTTGTGTTCTGGAGTCTGGAGTTTTGAACCTGGGGGTCTTGAGTTGGGTCCGGGTGAAGCGTCTTAGATTACACTCGGCCCTAAGTAATTGCATTTTGCATATTGCATTTAGCATTTAGCATTTTGCATATGCAGCAACGTCAACAAACAACTGCGATTTGTCACATGCTGCAACTAGTGGCCCTGGCCATCATCGGTATTGGTTTTTTGCATTGGTTTTCGTATTGGTTTTGGTATTGGCATCGTCATCGGAATCGTCGTAGTTGCAGCCACTATATCGTACATGCTGCATGGCATAGTATAGGTATAGTGGTCCGCTGTTATTGACGTTTTTGTCACGTTTCCTGGAAGAAACCGTTTTATTTGCTCGCCTGGTGCCGCGGCTGGCATTTCGGTTTGTTTTGTAAGCGGAGAGCGGCAAACAAACTGCCCTGGGCCTGGGCCTTAGCCTGTGCCTGGGCCAAGGGAAAACAAACCTCAACTTGCAGCCATTTATCAGTTTCGACCTCCACTTTTCCACTTCTCCCCCTTGCAACTGCACTAATGCTAATTGCATTGGCACGCCCTGAAGACCAGACTTCGACTCCCAGCCCCAGCTCCAGTTCCAGCTCCAGTTCCATTTACATTTCCACTGGCCAGCCCAGCTACACATGTAGCTCGCAGCTCGCAGCTCGCAGCTCGTAGCTCCAAAGCCAACTCGAATGCCACGAAATTAGCGCCATTAAATGTGGAGCGTACTCAAGTTTTACGCACGATTCCTCCACTGACGCCACTCGAATCCGAATCGGAGCCCCCGGGAATTGGTTGCAGTGCAGATGGGGCGATGGGCGATGGGGCGATGGGGCGACGGGGCACAGAGGCCACAGTGTCAATGAGTTAATTAGCGCACGATTTGTCGCCCCCACAAAAGCAGACAATGCACTGCGAAAAAATGGGAGAATATCGAAAAGTTTCCACAGAAATTCTTAGTGATTTTAGATGACTGGTTAAGTTACCCCAGCTTACTCTGTGCAATTAAGGTTTTTCATACATATTCAGCAGTTAATATATGTATGCAATATAATTTAAATACAAAATAAAACCAAAGCAAATTTAACATTATAAAAGTCTTAGCGAAATCATTGCTGTATATTGTTTGAATAATAAATTCAAATAAACTTACAAAGTAAGAAAATCTTAAAATTAACAAAAAATAAAATTTGAAATACAGACGTACGTATCACAAAAATAAAATTAATAGAAATATACGATTTTTTCTGTTTAAAATATCAGAAGTTAATAATTTCAACTATGAAATTTGCAAGTAAGTAACAAATTTCTGTAAAATTTAACTTGTATTTTTTGTAGTGTTCTTAAAAACAATGGAGGTGGGAGAAAAAAACACTCTTTCTTGCCCTTTATGTGGGTGGTTCTCCCTAGAAACTATCGTGAAAGAAAAACTCTTCTTTTATTGGAGTCATGGCAGTCCATTTCTGGGTCACATATTGTGGACTCTACACCGGGTTTTATTTGCTTATAATTTATGTTGCACTGATTGAATTTTGTGGTCCACCAAATCAAGAAAAAGCAATTAAAATTATAGAAAAATTCGAGATAAAATTTATAAGCAAAAGCATTTTAAGAATTTTTGTTGAATTTGAATTTGAAAATAAGCATTAAATGTAAAAGTCTAAAAGGCATTCCATGTTGCTCTAGTTTGTTCTTCAAAGTGCAACTCAAAGCTTTATGAGTAAAGCGAGTTGGGGACTTCATAATTTTCCATTAAACAGTTCAGAGATATCTACGTGATCGTAATGGATTTGTCATTTCCTTGAAGAACACGTCATTTTGAACTAATAATAAATTAAAATTTATTAATGAAAGCTCAATCAATTTGCTGTCTGGTACAAGTTAGTGACTCACTAGTGATCTTTTGCAACTATTAAGTTACTCATCATGGCTATAATGTTATTTCAGGGGCCTCCTGCTGCTGATATCGATACATGTACCTGGCTATATGCAAAAGCATTTATCAATCGAATGGCCTGCGGACAGCGTTGATGACAAGGGCAATAATAAAGAGGCCGCTCTTTGTAGTCGATATTGAAAGTGGTATTCTGTTTATTTACTTTTTTTCTCCATTTTTTGTCAATTTTTTTCTTATTTTGCAGACCACACACGCAGCCCGCTCCGCATGTTATTTACAGTTAATTGCTGCTGGCGGCGAATGAATGTTAAATTACATTGATAGTTCCATCAGCCGCAGAAGTAATTTTTTTTCATTTTTTTCCAGAGCCCGCTTTTGTTTATTTACTCGCCGGCGATATTGTTGTTTCTGCGGTTTCGCTTTCATTGCGGCCAGAGGAGAGTAAATGGAAAATAAATTGAAACTGGCATTTAATTAAGTTAAACCGCCGGGTCGATGGCAATTTATTAAAATAAACACAGGAATATATATTGCAGCGGGCAACACTAATTGCAATGCTATCTAAGCGCAAGGACGCGGGCAAACGCAGACCCGAAAAACTCAAATCAAATTCAAATTCGAATTCAAAGTTGCAACATGGCAACAAAGTCAACGGTGTGGCATGGATTTGCGTTGCGGACTTTATTAATTAAGTGCAAACGTGGTCACTTACAAGCCGTTTAAACTGCGTGTTAGCCAACTTGAAATGGCCCCGCTAATGCGCCAACAGCAGGTTCAAAACTGAAGAGAAAAAAAAATAAAAAAATAGCACAAAAAAGCATTAAAAAAACATAAGAAACACCCAAAAAAAAAAAAATTATGGTGTACCTGGAAAAATTGTCAACCCGGTCACATAAATTTTGCCAACGGCTGCAGTCGCCGTCGCCGTCACTTGTTTACGCTTTTCGGTATCCCATTTAATGGGTTAACGCTAACACTCGGCTTTTGCAGTTGCAGTTGCAGTTGCAACAGCCGCCAGTAAACAGTAAAATTTTGCTGGCTTCCTTTTGATCATAACTCGCTGAGTTATTGTGACAATTTGAATTGTTTCATTTTTTTTTTTTTGTTTTTTATCACATTTCCAACCATTTTTATTATTTTTCAATTTTGCCCAAACTTTGCCATGGATCCACGCACGCGAACGATTCTGAGTTATGGCCAACATAGATGCAGAAGCATTGATTACGTCACCATAAATTAAGATATAGTTGTCGCGAGATTTATGCCGACAGGTGCTAATATCCATCGATTGGCCAATGCCAATGATCGTAATTCTCCAGGAAGCTGCGTGGGTGCCAGAGTGCCCGGACCCCGCGAAAAAATTTGTCAACTAATGGGTTAACAACAGATAAAGCCGGCTTTATGGTTATGTATGGGGTGATTTTCGGCACAGCTCCATAAATATCCCGAATTAATTTCCCGCAAATTTGTCTCGCAATGGATTTGTAATTGAATTTCCGCTCACTTCGGGGTGGTGCAAAATTTATTGTTCGAAAATAGAGTGGCAAATTTATGCGGTTTTAATTAAGAGCTCAAAACTGAAGGTTCTTTATCTTGCTGTATGGTATGGTATTCTAATTGCTTAACAAAATGGAAAGACATTACCAATTGATTGGTGGAATTTATGGATTGGAAATCTGGCTGTTAGAACTGAGAGGTGATTTTTCTTGTTTTGAAAGGCACTGATAAAATAACCTATGGAATTTGTACAGTGGGTGCTCTTAACTATGGGCAGATTTATTTATTGACAGTCCAGAAAGTATTTTGTTTTTATCATATATTTTTTGGTCTTACTATAATCTTAAATGTGAAAGGAATACACAATTCTTTTCACCAATGAAGTAAAATATTTTAATTTAAGACTACGTTTCTAAAATTACTTTCAATCGAATTGAATTCACTATTGAATTTTTGGGACATTGTTTTGTAAACTAAACTAAACAAAAGTTGTTGGTGCACTGACAGGATTGAAAGTTTTTAAAAAGTAAAATGCTTCATACAAATTTAATTTTATTAAGTGCTACTTAAATGCTTTGCTTTACTTTTTTAAATGTGTTTAAATGTGTTTGCACCTAAAACTTTAATGTTAGATCATTTTTTTCTGAGTGGATTGGGCTAGAATTTTTTGTACAAATTTCCTGCCCCACTTTTTCAATCACTTCAGATTTGGAGGCTCAAGTGGGACCACCCAGATATTCCGGGATCATGCAAAACTGTTTACCCAGGCGCAGGATCCAAATAAGCGGGCGTGTCTGGACCACTTACAGCATAATTATCCTTTCGAACGGCGCAAAGGTAAACAGAGAGCACTATTAACATGTCCGAGGGATGCGGAGCCCTGTAATGATGCCATTAATTAGCTGAAATCACCAAAAGGGCAGGGCCGAAATTGTCTGTGCAATTCCTAGCACCCTGAAGCCCCCTCAGCGCCAAGGATAACACCTTTTGATTTACGCTCCCTTAGCTCGTGGGCCGTAAAACAAAAGTTTAGGGCCAGAACCGCCCAGAGATCTATGTAAAAGTGGTCTCGGGTTTCTCGGCAGGGCGCCGTCTGTCTTTCGGCTGGTCTTGGTACTGGCCCAGAGCGAATGTCTGACGCTGGGCATAATAAAAACGTCATGTCCTTGTCCGCCCTGTGTGGCCAACAGGATCGGGCCAAAAAGGTGCCAAGTGCGGCCAGCTGGGTTTTTTCTTTCTTGTTTTTGCCCCGGCTCCTAGCCCACTTTTATTGTCTGTCAGTTTTGCCAGCCAGCCGACATTATTTCAGTTTCCAGTCCTCGGTGCCTTTGTTTTATTGTTTTTCGCGCGTCATTATTTCGACTTTAACATTTTGTTTGTTTGTTTTCCAGAGATCCTTGCCAATGCCGATGCCAATGCCCATCTCATTTTCCAGTACTTTCGGCCAGGACTTAATTAAGGCCTCAGGTGTAATGGGCTCATAAAAAACGTGGGATCGCAACTCTTTTTACATTTTTTGCTTATTCTCCACCTTCCTGGGAATATTTTCAAATTGATTCGTTGGAAAAATAAACCCGTAATAAGGCACCTACAAAGCTGTTGATACCCGGTCTCTGTTTTCATGTTTTATGGTGAAAAACATGTAATATTATCGAGGATTTCAGTTCCATTAAGTGAACTAAATATTTGGCTTTCGAACTTGTTTGTATATATGTTTGGAGCCATGAATTAATATGGAAAAATCACTTAGGGCCCGTAGATATTTAGAATTTGTTAGTAAACATTTTGTTTTAGAGTAGGATTGTATTTATTTTGAAGCCATGAATTGACTTCAACGTTTTCATTACAGGTTGTTGAAATTTACGTATAAATGTTTGTAATTTACGTTTTTTAAGAATAAACTTTTATTTATAGAAGAATATACAATACAATTTGTAATGCTCTTAATTGATATTATTTATTGAGCAATCATTGTATGGCTTAGTATCTTGGGTACTGTACTAATACCTTAACGAAGACTTCTTTGCTGAACATCTAAACATCATTTAGCTGGTCAGTTTCGTCAATCCTTCGACTCCTCCCATTTTTGGACCCTTCTCCATTCTGCTGATTCCTTTTTGTATTTTCTGTCTTAATGGCGCTTCCTACTCATTTCATAATTTGCGCTAATCTAAACCCCAAAACCGTGGGTCAATGGCCGGAAACCTTTTCTGTTTTAGTCTTAATTTTGTTTTATGTGGCCAAAATGCTGGTCCAATCCTGTTTTGCGGCACTGCCGACCCTTTAATAAGCGAAGATAAGAGAATATTTTTATGTGCCGCCTGATCGGCACCAGGATAACTCTATTAAAGGCCCCAATTCCGTTCAATATTCCATTCCAATCCATTCCGGCTAAGAAGTCTGAGTGTGGTCTAGACCCGAAGCCAAGTTCATGGTTACGTCAGTGGGTAAATTATGTGCCAATCGAAAGCCAATTTCCCCCCTGCAATCGACAATTACGAGCACTACAAATGTAGTTGGCAAGGTGTCGGCAGGCACGCATTGTCATCTAACAGATACTTGAATTAAATGGACGAGGCAATGGGTGGGGCTTTCTGGAGGATTGCGTGCCGGAAAAAAGACACGCAAGCCAACTCCTCCTGCCATTAACAACTGCCCAAAATACACAGGTTTTTTTTATGATTAAAAGACCCATTTGCATGCCCAAAAAACAAAGCGGAGGAACACGGACGTTTGAAGTTCTGAGTTCGAGTTTGAGTCATGCAAAGTGAGCCACTACCAACTACCATCACAGGCTCATTAAACGGTAGTGAGACTCGATTCGATTCCGTCTGAATTTGCATTGCTGCACGCGATCGAGAAAACGAGAAAACCTCCTACCTTAAAGACTTTACGTAATTGGAAAGTGGTAGGGCAATATTGGGGAAAAAAGAAGCGGCCAAGTGAATTGATTTATTTGGCCGACACAAGCCAACTGACAAATGAATGCATTTCCGTTCTGCCGCAATGATCAACTGACAGATGTCTCTTGGCTTTGACCACAATTTATTTATTTGCCCCGAAGCCTCGAGAGCTTGCGACATTTCCTGCCCAATGACACGGAACATTTTGTTCTGGGAAATGCTTAAAATAAATTAGGGTGAATCAATTGAACAGACACTCGAGATTATCGATTGAGAGATGGCAACGAATCATTCTGGCCAATGGGGTTTCCAAAAATAAATTCATTTATACAACAAACAGGCTAGACAGTCCTTGGAGCTTTCTGTTTTCACTTTTTTGCAAGGTAGTTTTACATGGAATATCAAATGCAAATAATATAAATTAAATTTTCTTTTTAGTCGACGCATAGGAAGTTAAAGAAGATTACAGAGTATGCCATTTCAGAATAGGATATCTGTAAGAAAAGATATGCGCTTAGACATGTTGGTTTTTTTTATAAAAATTGATTACAATTACAAGGAAAATTATCTAAAATTACAACGCAAAATTTCAACGCAGATTTTTAAAACTTTAAACCACATAAATTAAAAGGTATGCCTTTTATAAATCGGATATGCTTAATAAAAGTTATGGACTTAGAAATAGCTTGGTTTTTCACTCATCTGGACTATCAAAACCGGCTAACAAGCATCCTTTGGACCCTTTTCCTTGACAACAGATGCCTGATCCTCCTTTTCCATTACACATCCAGATAGATAGCATATCTCAGCACTCAGGGCCAGGGTTAACTCCTCCGGAAAAAGCGGAAGGTTCCGCCGATATAAATGATGATAAATGCAGTGTGGGGGAATTAAGTTCAATTTAAAGGGTATTTAGGGATCAACCACACATCGGCGACAGCAGATCAGGTCGGTCGATCTATCGATCGATCGTTGTGGCGGAGCAGCAAACACAAAAAGGTAAATTCCTTTTTTGGGAGTGACGAAAGATCTTGTCCATTAGGTCGTCTGCAGGCAGTTAATGGCTGCACCACAAAAAAAAAAACGGAAAAAGGGCCACAACTCGGTGGCTCAGAGAGATTGATATGTTTCCTGGACCCACAGACGATCGGCGCTGATCATAATGCCCTGATTATAGTTTTGTGGTTTTTAATATTCATGTCGATCAGCAGCCCTAGCGATATTTGTTTGATGAATTTATTGCCCCACTGATCATGGTACAGCGATCGCTGATCGGCGGCGTTTTGTTTTATCCGCGGCATTTCTTTAATGGCTTTTCGGTTCTGGCTTTCCTCTTGGATTTGGGCTCGTAAAATGCACAATTTAACGGTGTGCGGCATGGAGTGTGCTATAGTTATGAGTCTGAGATGGGTCTGGACTCGATTATCTCACAGATAATCGGGCAGCTATGGGGCATGTGGTGGGTTTTATTGATTAGAACATGATTCGGTTGCATGTTTACCTTAAAAACAGTGCTCGACGGGTTTTATTTAGAACAGGGATTAAGATAGGGCCAGGATTATGCAAAAAGCAACCCTTGTTGTTGGTTTGGAGTGATAAAGCGATTGCCATTTATATTTTTAGCTGCGAAGAGCTAGCTTTTATTTGGGTCTATCAATTGAAATTGATCCTATTTTGAATTGTTTAAATAAATGTATGGTACTGAAATAATTATATCAGATTATTACAAATTTTCCATATTATTTGAGAACATTTTTTCCCACATTAAACCCATTCATTCTGGATATACCAATATCTCTAAGTTCTAAAATTCAATGTCACTATATTCACAGCTCTATTCCCACGCTAGACAATCACAGATTCCAAGAACTTTTGATTTCCAAGGGATCGACTGACTAGCCCCCTTTTGAACAGCTCCTTCCAGCTCCATTGTGAGCCCCGATTTTCCTTGTCAAGTGCGTAATTGCTGACAGCCCGGCTCCTTGCTGCCAACTGAAGATCAAACGATCCAATCGCTCATTACCAAAATCGAACTATAGTCTCGGGGGGAGAATTCGGAAAAGAAAGAAAGCCAGCTTTGAAGACAAGCCGAACGGCATTGTTATTCAAATTCAAGGGGAGACACTTGACCGGGTCAGAAAGAAATGGTATGGTATAGTATGGTATGGTATGGTAAATGGTTGAAATGAAGAGGAAAAACTACTGGGGACAACAAGAAAAACTACATCAAATTGGCGCTTAAATATTTTCTGACCAACTGTGGGAAACAATAATATTGAAACAGAGAGAGCCAGGAACGAAAGCGCATTTACTTGAACAGTAAACTTGGTGCATGGTACATATACTGGACTGGACTGGCCACTTGAGTTTTGAAGCGTTAAGTGGAAATCAATGCAGGCCCTTGCTATGTCTCTCTTTTTTCTTCTTTTTTTTAACAAAAACAACCAACAAACGAACCAACCAACCAAACTGGCGAACGATTGAGTGAAGCAATTGACCAAAAACTGTCGAACTGACGATCGGCAAGCGGTACACTTGTTCGGCTTTGTTGTTGACCATGTTTTCTTAACCGTTTGAGCCCCTTTTTTCTTTTTGGTTTTTTTTCCCCCTTTTTTTTGGGCGCGCGGTAGGTAAAAGAATATCGAGTCGAATCTGTTTGGGAATTTTTCAACACAACATTTTCTTTAGCTTCGTCGGCGTCTCTTGGAAATTTGTTTGTGCCGGTCAACGGAAATGCATTTATTTGCTGACGTCTTGGACCGAAATGAAGGGGCTCCCTGTCTCTTTCTGTCCCCGATCGGCCGTCTCCCTCGCCCGGGGCGTTAATTGATGAATCTGCGCGATCGGACAAAGTGTAGAGGCTATAGAGGTTCAATGACTATACCCTGGTGTATACCCCCCAAAAAGACACCATGTGCTATTTCTCGGAATTTCTTTCGGGCCATGATTTCCTTTTCGACCAAGTCGAACTTTCTGTTCCATCTTTTCGGCCGCTCTTTTTCCTTGGTTTTCCCTTTTGGGTGTTCATGTTGTTAAACACATCTATTTATATTTTAATGATGTTTGTAATGATGGTGCTAAATATTTCCCACATTATTAGCACCTCTTCGTCTGTCTGGGTCTTGTCGCGGCTCCGAGTTCTCTGGGCTCAGGGCCAGGCGGCAAAGTCATTGAGGGATTTTCCTTGGGAACAAGTTGTGTGTGATCGGGTCACAGAAAGTAAGCCGGGTGTAGAGGGTTAAAGTTTGCTCGGCACAGAGAAAGGTAGATGGAAAAGGATTTACAAATTTGTTTAAGACAGGTTTTGGTAAAGGTAAGTCAAACACTAAAGAAGATGAATGGACATGGTTTTTATAGAGCCAGAATTGGTTTAGAATACATAAAAGAGAAAGATAAAATCTTATCAAAATGTCAGTTAGATTTGGAGTTTAATTCTGGTTTGATTCTGCATTGTAATAACCAATTAATTTTAGTAAGTTAGATCAGAAGAATACATTAACATTAATGTAGCTGAAGAACGATTTAAAGCTAACTCTTTTTTATCTTCACTCCTAAACCTTTTAATAATTTAATTTATAAATAAATTGAAAGCCAATTGTCGAAATAAAAGATAAGTTTGTTAAACGTGTTCCTTTCTCCAAACAATAAGTTTTATATGTATTGTCTGTTTGGTTCTTCATCTAAGTACTTCAAATCAATTTACATATTGTAACAATATGGAAACCCCCTAATAAAGTACGTTTCAGAGATACATTTCTGAACATCTCGCACCCATTATGAAGACATTTAGGTAATCGTAGGTATAGGATCCCCAAAGAATCTGATTGATCGCTGGCGCTGCTGCCTTCAACGATGCTGAACAATGCTAAACATTTTTAATGAACTGCCAGGCAAACACGGGGCCAAACTTCGACTCATATGGAATATGAAATATTGAGAGGAGTCCGGAGTCCGAGTCCAAAAAAGGGCCGCCTGGGATTAATTTGATCAAGAAATTAACGGTTTTGGTACTTGTTACATGCAACCCGTGGGCAAGGGTAAGGGTTAGGTGTTGATTGGGCAACGCCCTGAAAATATAGCTATAGCTACACGATCAATACCCGACTATATAGGGGAGCCAGAACTGATTGCGTTCTCAAATTTATGACCGCCCATGATGAGCTATAAAATGTTTTATGGCCCCGGTCCCTAGATGCAGTTGTGGTCCTAGAAAAACCACAAGAATCCATGCCACACATCCCAATCCACACAGGCCACCTCAACAATTTTCGCCTTCTGTTGGTCTGAAATTAAATCGTGTGATTTATTGACGTGTGGCCCGCTTCTGTTTTGGAAAATGGGAAAACGTTGTTGTGGTCGTTGTGTGTGTGTGTGTTTTTATTTTGGGGTGGTGAAAGTACCACCTCCCTTTCGTTTTGCTACCCCCCAAAAATTGATTGAGATGTCAGGATTCATTAGCAGTCATCCCTTCGTTTATTTCTGTGATATTTTTCCAGCTAACCAGGGGATTCGGCTGACCGCTGAAAATGGGAAAATGGGGAAATTCCCAGCCAGCCAAACAAGTGGGATAAACCCGCAGCTTGGATTAGGCAAGGACTCGGGATAATCCCCGACTACCTGAGCTTAGCCATGCAAATGAATGAAGTTTTCAGGGTCGGCTGGTGAGAGGGCGTGCAAATTGACAAAGGAACTTTTCGCACATTAGTCCTTAAGTGGTTGTGTCCCGGTGTCCCATGCCAGCTGGAAATTTTCACGCGCACTCGCAACAAAATACAAATAGTTTTGCACCTGTTGTTACTGCATTTTCCAGCATTTTGCCCGCTTCTTGTGAAACCTCCATTGTCCCTTCTTTCTTTCCCTATTATCCTGCTGTGTCAGGCTGTGTAGCTCGTGCTGGTCCTTGTATCTCTTTTCTTTGCCGAGTTTCAGGCAGCAGCTGCAGCGGCTCTAATTGGCCATGGTCGGAGCCAAAAAAAAGGTTGGTATTGCGTCGAGTGAAAGTTGACCCAAAGCGTAGCAAATTTTTATGATTTTCTTGGTGTGAGGTTTTTTCTGGCCAGTTTTTGCAATAAATAACGCATTTTATGTATGCCCTAAAAAATTATTGCAAATGGAAGTGTATCTTTCAGATGCAAAGTTTTAGGTCAATGTTTGGAAATAAAACTTGCTAAATAGCTGCGTTTAATCTACAATATGTAAATATATCATTACAGTAAGTAATTCTGCGGTAAATATCTATTATCTTCACAAATAAAATATTGAAAAAATACTTTTTTTCAAAAAAAAAAAACGATTTAAAACTTCTCTATTTAAATTTCAGTGCTTAGGAAACCTTCTGAACCAAGAATTTACCAGCTTGTTACTAAAACTTTTTACAGACCATAAACATTGGAATAAATTATACAAATTGAAAAAATGTTTAAGTACACAGTAAAGACTTAAGGAATCCCCACAAAATTATATCTTCCCAGCATCATTTGCATTCCATCCTCTGTTACCGCATCTCAAGTAGCTTTCGTCACGCGTTTGAATGACAGTTGGCAACATTATTAATAACCCAAGCGGAAAAATATTCAACAATTGTAGCACTTTCTGTTATTGTTGTTACCGACATTTGGACAAGTCAAGTGGAATGCCCCCCTTCCTTTTCCCAAAACCCATTGTCATGGAAATCGAAAGCAAACAAAACAGCAGCTACAAACTACTGTAAATTGTTGAAATATTTTCGGTTTTTCGGGATATATATTTTTGTGAAAGGTTTGGAGGGCACAACACAATAAAAAAAGAAATGTAAGAGTAGAAATTTGTAAATTAGATGGCAATGTGAAGGCATTTCCTGCAGACGTGTCAATAAACAAAAGAACACATCCGAACAGGAGACGTGCAGTTGGGGGGTGGGGGGCACTTGAGGTGTTAGGGCCACGAGGGGGTTAAGTAGTAAATTTATTGGAACACTTACGTATCTGTGAAGTGTCTGTCACTGAGACTGTTCCTTCCGCAGCTAGGTGTATGGCTTTGTTGTGTGCACACTGTGACATTATTACGTAATCTTCTACTGTACATAATGCACCTGAAATCACCACCTGGAAAAAAGGAAGAAGGTTATTAAAATATTTGTAAATATGTCTTTAAATCATCAAATAACAATATACGTGAAAAAAACTATTTTTTAGGTTCAAAATGAGTTTAAAAAAAATGTAAATGTATTTAACGTACTAAGAACTTAAAGATAAAATAACACTTCTATAAAACAATGTTAAAGCCTTGGCTGGCCTCTTTTATTTTAATATAATAGTTAAATGTTAGCCAATAAATTTTTCCCCGTATGTGGCTAAATTGTTTTCTCAATTTTTGCTCTCCCATTTGTTGTGGCCACCTTATCGTTTTGCTATCTGCCAACCGGGCCATCAATAATTGTATCTATTAGATACGAACAGCAGAAAGGGACCAACTACAAAATATCAAACCTAAATTGCATACCAATGTTTACACGTTGTCACGACAAATACTTTGATACCCTCGGCACAGTGCAAACAAAGCACAAAAGTATTTCATGTTGTTTGTTTGCCTGTTCCTCTATTGCCATCTCAGAGGGCCCCCTTTGGCCCCCCTTTTTTCTACGCTCATGAAGGGGCGTATGTCGGTAGCCTTTACCTTTCATTCCTTTGCCTTCTACCCCCCGAAAAAACCCCTTTGTTGGGTAATTTATCATGTTTGATTAGTTGTCTCTTTGGTATTTTATTACATTCATTAATAATCGCGCCTTTGATTTAATGAATTTATTGTTTCGCCAAGCGGGCGGCGCTTGTGTTTACCCCCCCTTGCCCTTTCCCCCCTTTGAATGGTGTGTGTGTTATTGTGCCAGGTCAGGTTGTAAATCAAATCGGACCCAGATCTACCTGCGATATATGGAAGTCAGGTGCTTCTGGGCTTACGGTAATGTAAAGAATACTTTGGCAATGTAATTTCGATAATTATTGCGTCGTCGTTTATTGCAAATTTATAAGATTTATTTCAGGATTTATGGGTCCAACTATCTCTACAGGAAATTGTAAAAGTTGGAATGCCATTGTATCTTTATAGATGGGTTACGTTTTGTTTACTCCAATTTTCTCTATCTTCAGTTATTTTAAGGTTAAAACTGGAATAGATTATTATTTGGTTTTATTTTGTTTTGCGGGTGAAATCTGAATGAGTAGAAGTTACAACCATTTCTTGAGTATCTCTACCTCTTTTCTTCTCTCACACATGCCACACCTTATCACCATTCATAATTTCATCAACCCAGAAAAAAAAATAACCACACTTTTTTGTGTGGGGCCTTGCTACGCTTTATTTATTAGAACTCTGTCGATAATTACAAAATAATGCGTTTGGCTGCCCCTAGCCGCTCAAAAACCCCGCAGGCCTTGGCTTTTTCTACCACTTCACTTAACTTGGGTCCTCAACCGCCTACACCCCCTCTCTTTTGCCACCCACCTTGAGTATCTTCAGCTGCACTGGGAAAAACTAGGCAATTTGAGATGTAAATTGTATTGTCTTAATAGGTAAATAATGTTTTGGATTGAATTTGCTTGGCGAGTTATAAATATACAAGTGTGCTTAATAAATTGTGTTTTTAAGAGCTATTTGGGTATGAAAATATTCGAAATTCTGATTAATTTCTCCCTGTGCAACATTGCTTGGGAAAATGAAGCATGCACATTGGTTACGGGGGATCGAAACGAGGTTACCCCGGGCATAAATACGAGGCGAGGAAGTTCTCGATAGCATTACAAAGCGTGCGCCTTGATAAGATTTCAAAGCTACCAACTAGAGGGTCTTATTTTAGTGGGGGTGTTTGGTGGGTTTAAGTTTTGTATTGAGGAAGTATTTGGCCCGCCAGTTCTTTGGAACTTGTAACTAATTTGCGACCCAATAGTCGTGATTGAGGCTGCAATTTTTCTCGAGAGGCCTTGATAGTTATTGTTTTACGTGTTTCGAGGGTATTGCCATTCGAGTGGCAAACACGAGGGCCAGTGGCGCTGTAAAGTTAAGGGTCTTCCCCCATATCGCAATGGCGCCAATAAATTTAGTTTTGAAGAGTTGGTTAGTTAAAGGGAAGCCATTAAAAGATAAACTATATTAAAATATATTTTTAATTAATCGAGTTTAGTAACTCTAAATATATAAAATCTAAATAAGCATTGTCTGGTAGTGAAACCGTTTTAGGCAAACACATGGGCAAACAGACTACTTCATAATTATTTTAAAATTAGAATTTATGGCATAGTTTTTTAAGACTGTTTTTAATAACCTATATCATAATATTCCGCTTCAAAAACTTTCACAAAATACGTCCTTTCAACCCTTTATTTTTCAAAAAAATTATTAAATTTAAAAGCAACGTGCGTTATGCTCTGCTTTGATAAAAGTTTTCGGAACCCGTTCCAAACATAATCTAATAATACCACTTCACCTTCACTTGGCCGAGCCATCGATCATTGGCAATACTTATACTCACAATAAAAAACAGCAGTCTCTCTAACTGATTCGACATTCATTCGGCGATTAATGTACATAATTTTAACCCATTTACTGCCGGCACTGAGCAGTAAACTAAAATTCAGAGGTGTCGCAGTCGCTGGGTGATAACGTGCTGGTTAATTGATGTGGCTGACATTGGGCAGTTTCGGCGTTGTAATCCCCATGTAATCGTGCCCCACTTGACCGATAGCTATTGGCAATATTCTGGGATAATTATAACGTTCAAAACGAAATGAAATCGAAACTCATTTCTGGCCAACGGACACACACACACACGTGCTCACTCGCGAATTTCGAGACACACACGATGAACTTCCGTTTGTAGATGCAAATAATAATAATAAAATTATAATATATGTGTATTTGTTGTGGGGGCACGCCGTTTGTTTTTAATTGGGAGTTGTATAAATCGCGTAATGCTGGGGACGTTTGGCTTGAAAACTTGGGCGTTACGACAGCGAGACGTTGGACGTCTTGGCAGGGCGATTGAATTATCGAGACTAAACCGAAGCGAAACGTGCGACATTTTTTGGCTTTGTGTTTTTCTTCCTTTCCACACAAGCAGCAGCAGCAACAGCAAACGGCAACAGCAGCAGCAACATAAGCAGCAGCAACAGCAACAGCAACAGCAGCAACATCAGCGCAACCAGCAACATTAGTTGGCGCAGCGGCAACGTCGCCAACACCAACACCAACAACACTTTCAAAACTTGCGCATTTGTTGTTGCTCTGCGTGAAAGTCTTTGCATGTGTGTGTGTGAGCGCGGCCATTGCTGCTGCAATGCAATAATTATTGCATGCGATATCGCTGCAGAGAGCAGCGTGCAACACGCAATGTTAGCCAACAGCTGTTGCCGCTCGAACCTGTTGGCCGCGGTTCGAGCTGTTAAAGCAGTGTGCGCTGTTAAGGGGCTGTTGTTGGCTTGCTTCAAGCTCTGTTAACTGCTTGACTCGGGGAACTCGTTTAAAGAAAATTGGTTTTGAATTAGAAAAATTGTCTATAAGCCGGATAATTAATATTACAATATTAAATTATAGTAAATCAAATAGATTTTTGCTTTATACTAGTTTAATAGTTACTTAATTGCTTCTTAATGAAAAATTTGCCTATATTTTTAAAGCAATATGTTAATGTATCAAAAGTCATTAATGATCACTTCCTCAAAGAAAAAAAAATTGAGAATATTTTTTCTCTAAATTTCTTTATAAATTTGTTCTTCCCTTCTTATATTTTTTCTACATTGGCACTTAAATAATTTATGATTATTCACTCAAATCAATTTTAATTACTTATTATTGAACCTTTCGAAGTCCGTTATTAATGGCGCATAACGAGTTTAACCAACTAATTAGTCAGCCTAATTTAATTAACTAACCGAGCTTACTTCCGTAGCTTTTTTACAAAGAAGAATCATTAGTTTACAAGCCGTCAAAGATGTCGCTACTTAGAATTATTCTTATTATCATCTTTCTGAGATTAGTTTTGCCTTATCCTCATACAATCATCGAGCAATTGACTGTGGAGCTGAATATAAAAACACATATTTATTTCGGCTATACTATGGAGACTTTTGAAGGATTAAGTTTAAATACCAACCAGCCAAAATTGTTAGTTTTACGCAATATAAGTGAAGAACTAAAAAACCAACACGACGAACCAGTGCTTGTTATAATAAAATTGGAAAAGGATTTAGACTTTAATCTCAAAACAGTGGAGGTGATAAGATCCTATTTCACAGATAGACAATACAATGATATAATGCTTATAGATACAGATACGAAAAAGGAAACCAGTTATATGGAAATCGGAAAAGCTTACTGGGATGCAGGCTTTCCTTATTTGTTAATTTATAATTCTCAAGAACAACTTTGGTCAATAAACCCTTATCCCCACTTGGAGATAAAACCGACAGATTTAAAAGGGTATGTGAAAAATAGAAATAATGCGAATTTAATGGGTTACTCCATGCGTGTTTTGGTGACCAACGATCCACCGCATTGCTTTGTGGATGAAGAGGAATCAGCTTATTCACCAAATCGCTACAAAGGCAGTATAATAAATATTTTGAAAATATTTGCCGATCATCTGAATGCTACTTTTCAAGCGGTTCCTTTTCCAGAACTTCGACGCTATTCTACCAAAGAATGCTTGCAGATGGTTAACGACAATAAAACCGATGCATGTGGGAGTATTTTCATAAAAACCTACCAATATGCCACCAGTCAGCCAGTTCGCTTGAATCGTGTGGCTATAATGGCGCCCTTTGGCAATCCCATCGAGAAGTTCTACTACTTTTTTAGGCCCTTTGACCTTTACGTCTGGATCGGTACTGGTATGATAGTGGTCTATATAACGACAATGGGTTCTTTGCTCCATCGCTGGCATTTCAAAAACTGGGATGTGGGTCAGTATCTCCTGCTGGCCCTGCAAACTCTGTTGACCCGCGAATTGTCTTTGCCGCAGTGTTCAAGTGGCTCCAAATTGATGTTGCTGCTGTTGCTCTTTGCCATAGGCTTTATTTTATCTAATTTATATGTGGCCCTGCTCTCCATGATGCTGACCACGAAACTGTATCAGAGACCCCTGGAAAACTTGGCTGATTTAAAAGCAGCCAATGTGAATATACTGCTGCAAACGCACAATATCAAACCGAATTCCGTTTATGGCAGTTCAGAGGAGTTAAGGGAGAGATTTCTTCTGGTCGAAGAATCCCTGCATAAGAAGAGAAGAGATGGCTTGGATCCGCATTACGCCTATGTTGACTCGGAGGATAGAATAGACTTCTATCTATATCAACAGAAATTCCTGAGAAGGCGCCGAATGAAGAAGCTTTCCAATCCCGTGGGTCACACTTGGGCAGTTCAGGTTATCAAACAGAATTGGGTATTGGAAAAATACTACAATCATCATGTACAGCGTTTGTTCGAGACTGGCTTGCAGAACAAATTGGTGCAGGATGTCCACGAATTGGCCGTTAGAGCTGGCTTCCTGCACTTCCTACCCACCCAAACTGAAACTATCGAACCGCTGCGACTCGAGGATATTGTGATGGCTGCCATGGTCTTGGGCGGCGGACACGCCCTCGCCGGAATCTGTTTCCTGGGCGAGCTGCTCGCCTAATGGACACGAGCTCCAGCTCTAGTTCAATCTCAATCACAATCACGGGAATGGCAATAGTTCCGGCTGGCCATAAAACGGTTAACACCCACGCAATAAAGCGGAACCACCCCTAAGTGTATCACAATTTAAAGCGATTAGGGTCACAATAAAGCAACAGAATGAGGACCCGCATGCGACATCCGTTGCCAGGACACTTGGAAAAAATTTAATAAATAAATTTAAGTAAAATTTTGATATTAAAAAAAACTAATAAAGAAAAACCAGATTAATGGTTGTCATAAATTTACTAACTAATCACCCTCACTATTAATTACCCTTTATACGAAAATTTTTTTTATTTTGAATGGTTTAAGAAAATGGTTTCTGATAAGCCCAATATAAAACACTTTTTCTTGGAACACAATATTTTTTTTTAATTTTCTTAATTTATACCATTTTTAAGTTCAAGTCCATTTAATTATTTACATTTTTAAGCTTATAATTTATGTTGTTCTTAAGTTATTAAAGTTTATTTTATAATTATAGATTTTAGACTTTGCTTGAAAGTTCTATTTATAACCTTTTTAGTTTTGTACATATTTTCTTTATATTTTACAAAACCAATATCTTTAATCTGTGTTCATCATATTCATAAGTTAGTTTCGTCTTTAATTTATTCAATACTACCCTTTTTTTCCAAGTGCATTATAAGTATGTCAATTGGGTGGCATTACTCTACTTCTCCCAGCGGAAGTTGCCAAAAATGCAGCAGTTGATTGAACATTGATTGACAATGGCTCCCGGACAGGATGCGGAATACAAGAAGGGGGCGCGGTCCACTGACATTCGATTCATGGACTTGGACGTGGACATGGACATCGACATGGACATGGACATGGATGTGGGTGTGGATGGGGAAGTGCCTCTGCTCCTTGCGAATCCCTTTGTTTAACGAGACAATGGCGATTTGTGCACCGTGAGCAGTCCACTCCTCGCTCTTTTGTTGCCTTCTTTGCCATCCTTGTAATCCGCCCATCATAATGGGCCATTGTCAGAATCGATGTTCGATGTGGAAGCCTGATTTCTGATTTCAGACGCCTGCAGATGACGACCAATGACAGCCACTTGGCTCGCCAGTTGATTGCTAACGCACTTTGGCACAGACACGGATTGAAATGAATTGGATTCGATTGGACTGGATTGGATTGCCCCACTGGGGGGCACTTTAAGCTCATTAAAGTCGGGCGAAATTAGGTGTATGACAGCCAGATAGATTGGCTGTTGATTAGAGGGGTGTGAAATAGCAAACAATTAGCCGGCTTAAAAGGATTATTTCGCATAGTTTGAATAGTGGTCGAAACTTAGGGAGAACATTCATTTTATACTGACAATATTTCAAAAGATGTATACACCCAGAAAGAAAAGCATGGTAAATTTAATTATATTCACTTTGAATTAAATATTTTTGGTACTGATTAAGCTCCGAGGATTTTTGTGCTAAACTCAAAGTATGGAAAAACTTATTTAAAAAAAAAAAAATTGTCTACACTTTTTCTATTGGATAAGTCATTTAAATAAGTCATTTAAATAATTACATTATCATGTTTCCAGTTTATTTTAAGTAAGTTTATATTTTGAAAATCAATGTTATATTCAAATATTTTAATGCCTTATTTTATTATGTGATTTTTCTCTAGGTGTAGAAAGGGTTCAATATATTCTCGCTATATAAAATAAATTGGAGGGATTACAAAAACTATTAAAATTCAACGAAGACCAGTTTCGTTTTCAATTCCAAATGAATTCTTAATTAAGAAACACAGAAACCCATTGAATAGGGCTTACATTTAATGATGTACATTGATCTTAGATTAAATAAGGATTGGACTTAGCAGTGCCACACTAAAAGTCGACATGTGGTCAGTCCATAAGGATTACTTCTGCGCATTCTGTTTTCAAACAGCAGACCAAAATGACATTTTAATTTCACCCAAAGCGGTCAGTACTCAAAAGATAATTATACTTTTCAAATGTTAAGCGAAATTAACAGGAACCTTAAGTGGGATTAAGTTGTGTTGGCTTCCCCTTCAACGAAGTTATATCGTTCGTTCGGTCCAAAGGTTGTTTCCTGAATTAATCGGTTCCCCGATTTCATCACTCCCGTGACTCAGTTACCATTTTCGATGGGACCTCTCCAAAGCCTTAGACCTCAAATAAGCTCGTAAACAATTACTTTTCACTTTTTTGCGACCCAGTTATCGGCGCTGTTGCCAACTGCCATGAAGCGTACAGCAGCTCCCATATTACGCGTAAGAAAGTCGGGTTAAGTTTTGTTAAAATATTGGCCAAAGTCACGGGCCAACAAACAGATTGCCGGATTGCTATCGCTGTGACGTCACAAGGAATGTGACTCGAAGATTGCCACCGATTAGATTTGCTTACAAACAACTCGAAATATGTTAAGTTAAGTTGTCAAGTGATGGACGAGGGCTGTTTATTAGCGAAATAAAAGTTCTTAGACGTGGCTGTCATCAAGATGGCTGGGATATTTTTTGCAACTACTCAAAAAAGTCAATTAATCGATATTATGTGAAGCTGAGATGGGCTCTTGAAATAATTTTAAAGGGAAATTCTTTAGAAAATTATAAAAGGTTTTTTTTTTGGTAAGATTACAGTTTGGACCTTTATAAGAGGTAAAGATAGTGATTGGAATTTATTTTGCGCTCTCTATTGAGTACAAAAACGTTTATTATAAAAGTTGATTACAATTTTAGTATTTGTAGTTATAACTAATCAGCAGAATAAAGAGCATGTGTTCAGGGTTATAGATAATTATTTTAAAGCGATGTTTGTAATGTATTTTACAAAAAAACTTCGAAAGTTGTATCAAAAATGTACATTAAATATCTTAGTATGTAGTTATCACATTGCTTTTTATATAGTTAAAATTGCTAAGCAGAATAAAGAGAATGCATTCCATTGTATGTGCCATTAGTTTTAGGCTATGATGGTAATGTATTTTCAATAACAACATTTGAAGGGTTATCCAACTTGAATCGTGCATTTATTTAACGAGCTCAACAATGACCTCGTTGAGGTCACACTGATGCCAAAACAAATCCCAAACTCAAATCAATCTTTATTTTGGCAACTTTTTCGCAGGGCTGGCCGGTGGTTTGGCCAATCAAGCGGATACCGCAAAAAGCTAATTAATTTTTTGCGCTGCTCATTTGCCGTCAACGGCAGCCGAAAACGCTCATCAAACTAATTGGCCGGCCGGCGGCGTGGGTGGTCACTTCACTTCAGCAATTTAGCCAACTACTCGGCTTGGCTTTAATTGCATGCGCCGGTCACCGAGAACCTGCCAAAGACAGGCATTTAAAAAGACGCAGCTTATTGTCTGCTTAATGGCTTCCAGTGAGCCGCGCTGCTGTTTTGGCCAAAACCCATTGGCAACATTGGATTTTTTTCGTTTTTGGTTTCGGCTGCCTCGACGTTTACCGTTTGGCCTTTTTGACATCGGCGTGACAACCGACTATGCTGTTTAATAAACTTAACAATTTAATTTGCCATTTTGGCAAACAAATTGTTTTGTTACGTTTCGGTTGGTTTCTCCATTTTGAGAGAGATTTGATTAATTCAGCGAAGACACAAATACACTGCAGTAATAAGATGTGATAAGTCAGATGGTTTACTGTTTTGGGAAGAATTATTAATTAAAATAGGTACAAATACTAAACACAAAAATTTCTCATTACATTTTGAGCCAAATTAAAAATAAAAACTTAATTTGGGTCCACCAGAAATATTTGAGCTTTATTTCTTATTACAAACCGATGAAAACGATTTTTTTAAACCTTAGCTTTATTATAAATTGTGTTCTATCATCACACATAATTTAATTAGAATTGAAATGTTGTATTTTATGTAAACAACATCACTCTCTAATAGGAAACATATGTCTCTATCATAATAGGTATTTTTTTAACTTTGCTAATCTAGTAAGAATAAATATATATACATTTATGTAAAATTGTTATTTATTGTTTTACGCTTTGCACAATATTATTCTTTTAGTTTATTTATAATTCAAGTTAATTTTAATTGTGCTAATAAGTATGCAGCCGGAAATGCTGTTGCCCAACGTGACAAACTCAATACATTTTCTATTTAAACTCAGCATATAAAACATTAAGATTTGCAGTTGATTATCGCGTTGACAGCCCCATGCGGCGGTGGAACGAGTTGGCAGCTACGCTTTGGCCCCACTTGAACTTTGTGGCCAACTGCTGACCAGCTAGCTCCCTAATCGCCCTCTCCCTCTCACAGCTGCCCCTCTCACTCGCACACTAAGCGCCGCTATTTACTGTCAATCATCGCGGTCTTTTTGAGGCGATGGGTGGTGGATGGTGGGTGGTGGGGTATGGGTAGCACCCAATCAATAACAATGACTGATTACGATTAAAGTCTGGGCCCACGCGCTACTTGGCCATTTGGCTTTTGGCGAGCCTCCATTTGGCCAGGTTTTCACCTGCGAAAATGCCTGGGAAATGAGTCACGCTTCGGGGTATCGTGTGGCCAAAAGTTATAAGGAAATCTTTGACAGTTGGCACAGGTGAAAGTTTTTTGTTGTCGGAAGGCTCAACGAGATTGATCGAGTGGATAACCTTCAAATGGCGAATGCTTTTCAGTTATTAGAAATAATTATATTGCCTTCAAGAGTACTTTCTCATTATTCTTTACCTGGAAATTGGAATTGCTCTAGTTTGACTATTTAATCGCGTTTTATAAACTCATTTTTTTTTTTAGAATATAACATTTCTTTTCAATACGATTAAAGGTAAAACAAATGTTTAAAACTTTAGTTTCCATACTTCTCTTACTTGTATAATATTACCCTAATTGTTTCACCTCTAAATATATCCTGAGTAGCATACATAAATCGAACTTTGTGATTCCCTTTAAAGCACTTTTAGATGACTGTGCACTATTTGTTGGTCTTATCAGTCAATTGAGGACGA